TTAAAAACAACAGAGTTATTTTATTCCTGTCTCAGCTATGTGGTTCTTGCTCCTGGTCTTTCATGCGGTTGCAGTCAGATGTAGCTGGGGCTGGAATCACCTGGAAGGCTTCTTCCGTGTCTAGTGGTTCATGCTGGTTGTCAGCTGGAATACCAACGGGTGTCCCGTCTCTGTGGCCTGGGTGTCCTCTTACCTTGGTGGCTGGGTTCCAAGAGCAGGCATCTCAGGAGCACCAAGTGGAAACTCTGTTGCCTTTCATGAACTAGTCTCTTAAGTCATGTAATCATCACTTCCTCTGTAGTCGCAGATCAAAGAGAGGCAATGTAGACCTCACCTCGCGCAACTCTGGAGGGAGGAGTGTCATTGTCACTTTGTAAGAAGAGCATGTGGGATGGGAGATGCAGTAGTCATCTTTGGAAGATGTAATCCTTTACTGTTAGGCTGCAGGTTTGGCCTTCTTTCTCCCTGATTTGGTTAATAATGCAAGCAGTTCTCCATCTGGCTACTTGAACTTCATACATGTGCCAAGCGCTGTGATAGGTTTAGAGGTCACAGAGTGTTTTTTTTCTAAGGAGCAAGATGAGAGCCCCAGGTCAGCAGAGCCACAGATTTTGTTACAGTGCGGAGGAGAAAGATGGGAGGTGTGGAGAGAGTACGGTGGGAGTAGAGCTGTAGGAGGCCTGGCTCTGCCTGGATGTTAAGGAAGGACTCACTAGAACTTGGTCCTTAAGGATATGTAGTGCCTGTGGGTGGGGGCTTTGGATAATGTATAAGGATGCGGGACCAGCGGAGCAAAGATACAGCAACATACAAAGTGTACTTAACTGGGGGAATTAAGTAGCCTGTTGAAGCCAGAATACAGGGTTCATGGGGTTAGTGGTTGGAGGAGAGGTTGAAAAGGGATGCTTGAGTCGGTTTGTTGTAAAGGCCCTGTGTGTCATAAAAATGAATCTGAGTTTTATTCTGTGGGCAGTGGTAGCCTCTGATGGTTTTTAAGGCAGCCTGGTGCTTTGACCAGGCATATACTTTAAGAAGGATGCTGTGTGGCTGTTGGGAAGATTGCTTAGAGGAAAGCAAGGTTAATGATAGTGGTAGACCAGCTGAGAAGCTACATGAAGTGTTGAGTATTTCATAGTAAGTCAGAGACAGGCCTGCTGCTCCAGCCCTGAAGCCAGCAGACACTTCAGCTGATAGAGTTCAGTTTCTCTTTTCTTTCCCCCAACCCTTGACCTGAAGGCTTTTCCTGCCTAGTCAGGAGGCAGGATGTTGGGGGTTAGGGAATCCAACATTGACTATATCCTGAGGAAGGGGAGTGAGGAAGAAACTGGGAATCTGTGTGTGTCTCTATTCTAGGAAATCCTGGTTGGTATATGAGCACTGATAAAATGGAAATTTAATGACACAACAGAAATGGGCTTGAGGTTTCTGAAAAGACTGGTGCTGTGGAGTTGTGAGGGTAGATGGTTTCTGGGAGGAAGACTTGGTGCTTGCAGGAGCTGGGAGGGTCTTGGAGGAGGGAGGCAGTATCCGTTCCCTTTCAAGACCCTTCAGGATCAGCCCTTTTGATCTTTTGATACTGGATCTGTCTGCTTGAGAGCCCAGGAGCACAGAGATGAAATCTGGGGCCCGAGGTTTTGGCTAGGATTAGAGAACTGGGCTGTGAGGCAGAGAGTAACTGGCAGAGCAGCCAGCACAAGAGAGCATATCCTTGAAACTTTTGGGTGTAAAGTGTTGAGACCAGAGGCAAGGATGCCGGGGAGAGAGTTGCACGGTCAAGACTGGCAGCTGTCCCAGAATTGGAGGGTGTGGTAGATCCCTCCGAGTAATGGGGTCTGGTGGAGTGTGGGGGTTGGTGGGACCATGCATTCTTCTTATTGGATGTGTGTCCCAATCCTTTCCCAGAACCTGGCAGACAGCAGGTGTGTGGTGCATGCCATTGAGTGACTGAGGAGTTTAGAACAAGTGGATTGTCCCAGTTCCCCTTACTGATACGCCCAGCTGCTGCCGTATTGCACAAAGCTAGTCAGAGCTGTGAGCTATGTCGCCGTGTTTGATTTTAAGAAATTTTATTTGAAAATAATTTCAAACTATACAACAGTTCCAAGAATAAAAATCATACAAAGACACTCATATTCCCTTTACTCAGATTCACCTATTAGCATTTTGCTCCGTTTGGTGTCCATGATACATAATGCTTTTGTTCTGAAGCATTTGAGAAGTTGGTGTCTACTATGGCCCTCTACCCCTAATTACTTCACTGTGTATTACCTAAGAATTGGGGGGTTTTTTTTGTCACCACAATATGGTTATCAATTAGTCAACATTGATACCTTAGTCTACTGTTTATATTCCAATTTTGTCATTTGACCCAATAATGGCTTTTAAAAAAATCAGTTTTATTGAGTTATAAATGACATATAATGAACTTAACATATTTTAAATATACATTTTGATAAGTTTGGACATATGTATACACCCATGAAACTATCACCCCACAGAGTTTCCTAGTGTCTCCTTGTAATACCTCCCCCAGATGTCGTAACACCTCCCCCTGAAGTCCTCACCGGTCCCATCCCCAGGCAACCACTGATCTCCTTTCTGCCAACATAGATTACTTTGTATTTTCTGGAGATTTATGTAAATAGAACCATAATGTATGTGCTTTTTCACATCTTGCCTAATTATTTTGAGATTCATCCATGTGTTGTATCAGTAGTGTGTTCCTTTTTATTGCTGAATATTATTCCATTCTTTGGGTAAACCACAGTTTGTTTATCCATATTCCCCTGTTGATGGGCGTTTGGGTTGTTTCCACTTTTTGGCAATTATGAATAATGCTGCTATAAACATTCCATGTAGGATTTTGTATGGACATATGTTTTCATTTCTCTTGGGTATATATATCTAGGAGTGGGCTTGCTGGGTCAGATGGTAACTCTCTGTTTAGCATTTTGACAAACTGCCAAACTGCTGTAAAAGGACATTAGTTCCATACCTTACACCATATACCAAAATTAACTCAAAATGAATCATAAACCTAAATGTAAAACCTGAAACTATAAAATCTAAAAAAGAAAACATAGGGGGGAAAATGTTTGTGACTTTGGCAAAGATTTCTTAGATTCAATGCCAAAAGTGTGATTCATAAAAGGAAAAAAACCCTGATAATTAAGACGTAATCAAAATTAAGAACTTGTATTCTTCAGTTGACACTTACAAGACTGGGGCGAGTGTTTGAATTTTTGCCTGTCTGGTGGGTGAGAAATGTTATCTTAGTCCACAGTCTGAATGAGCGTTTTTCTTATGAGTGAACTGGAACGCCTTTTCATATGTCTGAGGACCATTTTGAGTATTTTTTGGTGTGAGTTGCCCTAGTCTTTTAGACATGGAGTTTTGGCCTCTTTTCCCCTCAGTTTTTAAAAAGTTCTTTGTTAGGACATTGGCTCTTTATTTGTGATATATGTTGTAGGTATTCTCACCCAGTTTGTGATCTGCCTTTTGGCTTGGCTTATGGTGTGTTTAGCCATGCAAAAGTCCTTGTAATGTTACTGCATCTGCATGTTGGGTCAGACTTAGAAAGCCTTTCCCTTTACCCAGGTTATAGAGGAATTGACTCATGTTTTCTTCTAGCACTCGTATAGTTTTATTTTCTCAGTTTTATTTAGATATCTAATCCACTTGGAATTTACTCTTGTATACGGATCTTTTTTTTTCCCCCAAAGACTATTTTTTGCCCCAGTAATTCTAAATATCCCCTTTGTCATTATATTAGATTTCTACATGTAGTTGAGTCTATCTCTGGAGTTTAAATTCTATTCCTTTGGATGATCTGTTTGTTTACATACCAGCACCACAAACTTAATTATAGAGGCTTTGTAATGTGTAGGATATTAATATCTGGTAGGGCTAGTCCTTCTTTACGGCTGCTTTTCATCATTTTTCTAGATGTTCTGTTACACTTATTTTTTCATGTGAACTTCAGTGCCAGTTTGTCTAGCTCCATAAAAAAAGCATTTTTATTGAGATTTTTGGTGACGCTGAGATGTCCTAACCAAGAATAAGGGATAGTTCAGTCTTCTTTTGCGTCTTTCAGGAATTATAGGTTCATGTAGGGTTTAAATATTTCTAGTTAAGTTTACTCCTAAATAGTATATCATTTTCATAGCTATTATAAATAGGGTTTTGTCTTTCATTATTTTTGTAAATGAGTTATTATTTGTGGATATGAAGGCTATTGATCTTCACATGTTAATTTTTATATCCCCCTACGTTGCTCAATTCTTTGACTGTTCGGGTTGAGTTTATCATTGATTCTCTTAGAGTTTTCCAGGTATATTCTCATGGCATCAATAGGTTCAGATAGCTTTGCTTCTTTTCCACTTCCTCTGCCTTTAATTGTGTTCTGCAGTCCAGTTGCATTGGCTGATCCCTCCAACAGAATGTTAAATAGTCATGTAGACCGTGGGCGGCTTGGCTTTGACCTTCGTGGGAATGCCTCTGGTGCTTCCTTATTAGGTAAGGTGCTGGCTTTAGCCCTGAGGTGTGATATTAGAGTTTTAAAATCAGTAATCTTTGGGCAGTTTGATTTGAGGAATGGCAGGTGAGGAGTCTTACCCACACCTCTCCTAAGCTCTGGGTGGAAGATGGGAAATGAAATCTGTCAGATAGGGAATGGGGACGAGGAGTTCCTTTGCTTCCATTCTCCTATGGCCATCACACTCTACACTGTTCCCCCCACCAAGTATTGCTTTTCTGAGGACTCGTGAATTTATTTTGGAGTCGGGGAGAGTGTTATCCTAACCCTGTTCTCCCATATAGATTGACCCTACAGATAAGGGAACAGGCAGCTCTTTTCCAGGAGAGCCCTGGAGTTAACCCCCTGGCCTTCCTCATCCTGCAATTCTTCACCTGTTCCTGGACACTTCCCTCGCCCCATTCTGCCGCCCCTGGCAGCCCCGTGCCTTTGTGATGTTGGTTGGTTTTCTCTCTCCTCTGCTCAGGTGCGTGGCTGCTTGCTAACCCCAGAGCCCAGAGGAAGCATCCCTAGGACTCCGGGGTGTGAGGCCAGCAAGACGAGCGCGACCTTGAGCCCCACCCTTGCCTGCCTCCCCCGCGGGGGCCAGGATGCTGAAGAAGCAGCCAGCAGGGCTTGTGCTGTGGGGCGCCATCCTCTTTGTGGCCTGGAACGCCCTGCTGCTCCTCTTCTTTTGGACGCGCCCGGCGCCTGGCAGGCTGCCCGCAGACAGCGTGCTCGATGACGACCCCGCCAGCCTCACCCGGGAGGTGATCCGCCTGGCCCAGGACGCTGAGGTGGAGTTGGAGCGGCAGCGGGGGCTGTTGCAGCAGATCAGGGAACACCATGCTAGGTGGAGCCAGCGGTGGAGGGTACCCACCGTGGCCCCGCCTGTGCCACCGCGCGTGCCTGTGACCTCCCCACCAGCTGTGATCCCCATCCTGGTCATCGCCTGTGACCGCAGCACTGTCCGGCGCTGCTTGGACAAGCTGCTGCACTATCGGCCTTCGGCTGAGCGCTTCCCTATCATCGTCAGCCAGGACTGCGGGCACGAGGAGACAGCCCAGGTCATCGCCTCCTACGGCAGTGCCGTCACGCACATCCGGCAGCCTGACCTGAGCAACATCGCAGTGCCGCCCGACCACCGCAAGTTCCAGGGCTACTACAAGATCGCCCGGCACTACCGCTGGGCGCTGGGGCAGGTCTTTCACACGTTCAAGTTCCCAGCGGCGGTGGTGGTGGAGGATGACCTGGAGGTGGCTCCAGACTTCTTTGAGTACTTCCAGGCCACGTACCCGCTGCTGAGGGCCGACCCCTCCCTCTGGTGTGTGTCTGCCTGGAACGACAACGGCAAGGAGCAGATGGTGGACTCGAGCAAGCCCGAGCTGCTCTACCGCACAGACTTCTTCCCTGGCCTGGGCTGGCTGCTGCTGGCCGAGCTCTGGGCTGAGCTGGAGCCCAAGTGGCCCAAGGCCTTCTGGGACGACTGGATGCGCCGGCCTGAGCAGCGGCAGGGCCGGGCCTGTGTGCGGCCTGAAATCTCTAGGACAATGACCTTTGGCCGCAAGGGTGTGAGCCACGGGCAGTTCTTTGACCAGCACCTCAAATTTATCAAGCTGAACCAGCACTTTGTGCCCTTCACCCAGCTGGACCTGTCCTACCTGCGGCGGGAAGCCTACGACACAGATTTCCTTGCCCGTGTCTACGGTGCTCCCCTGCTGCAGGTGGAGAAAGTGAGGACCAGTGAGCGGAGCGAGCTTGGGGAGGTGCGGGTGCAGTACACGAGCAGGGACAGCTTCAAGGCCTTTGCCAAGGCCCTGGGAGTCATGGATGACCTCAAGTCTGGTGTCCCTAGGGCTGGCTACCGGGGCATCGTCAGCTTCCTGTACCGGGGCCGCCGTGTCCACCTGGCCCCACCCCAGACGTGGGATGGCTATGATCCTAGCTGGAATTAGCAGCACCTGCCTGTCCCTCCTGGGGCCCCTCCCTGCCATATCGTGGGCTAAGACAGGACTGCAGTCCCTGGACTGCATCGTCCTCTCTGTTTTTCTCTTGGGTCCATTTATCTCCTTTTTTCCCCTTTTTTGAGTGGCATTTGAGTGCACAGATAGTAAGGTGAGGGTTATTCTCCCATTCTCAAGGACGTCAAATCAGGGGAATCCTCTGGGGCATGTTGGGGGAGCATTACTAAGCAGGAAACCACTGTGTGGTTTAGGGAGACTGGGGCTCGTTGAGGCCACAGACTTCCATGTTCCAGGTTTTCTTCTAGGGCATCTGCAGAGAGGTTGGCAACTTAGTTCTCTCGACCAGGTCTCTTTTTCCTGTCCTGGGTCTTCCAGCCAGAGTATGAGCCCTCCTTTTACACCTGCCCCCCACCCGCGCCCACTGTCCCCCGATTGGAGCAGGTTGAGGGGCTGGAATATGTGAGAAGGAGACGCGTTTGTGGCCAAAATGAGACTAACCAAAGGGGTTTCATCATCCGGGACCCGGGGGAGCTGTTAAGTTGTTAAGGTTTACCGCCTCCTGCCCGTGTTTCTCTTCCTCCCCTCTCTCCTTTATCCCTGACCTCTCAGCTCTTCTTTCCCTGCAGCCTAGAGATTCATGATTCTAAGAGGCAAAGTTGAAGGGAGAAAGCAAGACCTCTCCTCAGCTCATCCGCTGTGGCGAGGGGAGGTCTTGGGTGCTGGGGCACCCCTCCCTCATGTTCCTCGTACAGACTGTCCCCCATCTGGTCCTTTCAAAATCCCTTCCCTGTGCTCTCGGATGGCCCTCACTGGCTTGGCCCATGGCTTCTGGAGGACCTCTCAGTGTGAGATGAAGCAGCTCAGACCTTTCATCCCGGCCTCCCTCCCTTCTCCCCTGAGCATTCCCGTGCGCGCAGATTAGGGTACAGATGGAGGGTTGAAGAGCAATGCGTGTGTTTTTGTTTCTTGCCTGACCTCAGTTCATGGAAGAAAATTGAAACTACAGAATTATTTTCAAAAATAAAATAAAGGCTGAATTGTCTGAAAAACTCTGTGTGTGTTTGTGTGTCCTGGAAAAGGAGGAGGGGGTGGAAAAAGAGGTGAAGGGGAGAGGAAGAAAGGAGGAAAAGGAGAATGAGAACTAAAAGGAAGGAGCTGGAAGGAAGGAAAGCAGATGACGAAGACGGGCAGCGAGTAGGGGAATGTCGTGGGAGAGTGGAGGGTGGGCACAGGTGTGAAGGAAAGGCCAGGCTTGGAGGTGGAGGGGGGCCCAAGGCTTCACCTCCCTGCTGCTGCTAGAGGTGGGCCGTGGGGCTCTCAGTGGCCTTGGGCTTGGTCTGAGCCAGAAGGCCTGGTCTCAGAGAGGACATGGAAAAGTCCCTCCCGCAGTGGGTGCCTTGTGCAGGGTGTCCCCTGCTGGCTCAGGCAGCATTTCCTCTGCATCTTCCAGGACCTGCCCCTGAGCCCTGGGATGCAGAGCTCATAACCGGCAGTGGACTCAGAGTCCTGACCATGACCCCAGGGAGATGCGTTTTTTACACTGCCACCTGGAACACCCACACATAAATGGCAAACTTTTCCCAAAACTATCCTAAGGGCTTCTATTTTCTGCCAATTTTTTTTTTAATGCTGCTTCGGACCCACCAGCGTGATTTCATTAGTGGATTTGAAAACCCAGGGCTAGGTGACTTTGTTGACAAAGCATTCTTGAGCTGCACACTGGACGGGTGAGTTGTGTAAAGGGAGTGTCACTGAGGGAGCAGCTCTGGCCTCCCTTCTGGGGTCAGGAGGTCGCCATTACCCACGATTTGCAAGGCTCTCCCTCCTGCCTAACAGAGTTGGGCCAGTGTACTTTGGCTGCCAGAATCCATACTCTAAGGGCTCAATTTATTTAACATTGCTTGCCAAGTGCGTTGTTCTGAGTATTAACTCATTTAATCCTCAAAGCAATCATGGGAGGTAAGTAGAGCTCCTGTTTCACAGGTGAGGAATCGGGCGCAGAAAGGTTGCTTTGCCCAAGGTCACACCCCGAGTTGGGGCAGAGCCAGGATTTGAATGGATCCCATGCTGATAATCACTACTTAGTCTGGCCTGTTCTATTTCTGTCTTTTACTGCCTTTCCTCCAAGACCATCTCCTCAGCTTTCCTATACTCTAGTTTCCCCTCCCTCAGGGTCCAGGGTGGTGGGGGTAGGGGGACTGGGCTGCCAAGTCAAACAGCAGGTGGGGCAGGAAGGCAGTCCTCCTGGAGAGATTGCCAAGGAGGAGACACTCTGCAGATGCAGGCAGGGGTGTGGGTGTAGCTCAGAGGTAGAGCACATGCTTAGCATGCATGAGGTCCTGGGTTCAATCCCCAGTACTTCCTTAAAAAAAAAAAAAAAACAGAGACTCAGGTTTCTCCTGAAGTGAGGAGCACTTTGACTGGTCTATGTGTCTTGATTCTTTTCCTTCTGATGCGGTTCCCCAGAGAGGCCACCTTCACCATGCCCAGGCATCCTCAGGTGTGACTGATACGTGCGTGGCTGCCACTCCTCATAAACCACCATCCTCCCGTGGGTAACAGAGCAAGTGGAAACACCAAATGGACAAGCATGGTGTCATTAAATCCTGCAGAATTCTGCTACCCTTGAGTTCGGAGTTAAAGATAATTCCAAAGAGCTCGCCCAGCTCAACAGAGCTCCCAGGCCAGGTGGGCCCTCACTGAAAGGTGACTAACTGGCTTGGCGCTCGCAGGTTGCAAGTCCCCGCAGGGGGAGGGTGTGTCCGTGTGGCGCACAGGGTCTCCGTTGCCCGCAGGAGGCCTCGCAGGGACCGGGTATGTTTGTGGACCCAGAAGTGACTCGGGCTGGCCCACCACTCCTCTGCCCTGGCCTTGGCCCCTCTGCCTCTACCGGTGACCCACAGCCCTTCCTCCTCCACTTCCTGCCGATCTCTGGAACCACTGCTGTTTCTCTCTTCCCTCGTTTGTCCTCCTCTCTTATCTTGGTCACCTGGTGAGATCTAATTTTAGGGTGAGTCACCCTAAGTGTGAACAAATGTGTTGGGTAGAGTCTCTGGCCAGGGGCTCCCTTGAACCTTCAGTTAATCCCCTGGGGTTTCTTCAAAACCCAGCCAGGGCCGGGGATTGAGGCTGGGACGTGGTAGGGGGTCAGGGACAGGGCTGCAGGTGGGGCTGAGGATGAGGTGGGAGGCAGAGGAGGGGTGAGGGTGGACTGCATTTTGATTGTTAGAAACAACACCCCTTTTAAAATGATAGGTATCATTTACTTTTTTTCATATTGCAAAAGCAATACATGTTCATTTTCGAAATCAGGAAACAGATAATATAATATAAACATTCACACGTCCACACGACCCCCTTATCTCTGTTTAAACCTATCAGACTTCTTTCTTACATATGTAAATAAATAGATAAAACATCTATAAAACCCATAAAGTTACATAAATGTTTATTTAGCTTTATATAAGTTAAACATTTATATATATACTATATATTGTTTTATAGCCATGTCAAATATTCACCTTCACCATAGTTTTTAATCATTTACCCTCTTCCTTAAATATCCTCAACAAACACGTGGGATTTTAGGCTTCCTGAAGGGATTTCCTTTGAGCCCTTGAACTTCCATCTGTTCCAACCCACCCTCCATCTAAGGTGGGCAAGTCACACACAGGGTGTTTATGCTTGGGGCAGAGGTCACGTAAGGAGCAATTCTGCCACTTTTCCGTTGATTCATCTCTGTTTCCCTCTGATCTTAATTATAAAAACGAGATCACTAGGTAACATTTAACTGAACTCCTGACTTATGCTCTAAGTGCACACAATATCTTGCCTAACCTGTTGATTCTTTCCCTAGATTAATAGAAGTAGGAACGAAAAATTAAGTGGTAAAAGAATGACCAGCTCTCTACCCCCGGCAGCCCCCATAGCAATCCTGCAGACAGACTGCACGGACAAGATATCATCTTAAGAAAGATCGTGAGGCGTCAGCCAGACTGCATGCAGTGGGAAAAGATGCAGAACCTAACCTTCTGCCTCAATGATTAACCGAGATTACTTCCCCTCTTTTCCCTTTAAAAAGTGTCATGGCTGAACAGAATCTTCAGAGTTGGTTTTGGGGGACATTGGGGTCTGCCTTCTCCCCAGATTGCCAGCTTTCTGATTAGAGCAACTTTCCCTGCTACCAATATTTGCCTTTCTGGTATTGATTTTCCAGCAGTGAGCAGCCGGACCTGAGTCCAATCAGGGAGGGGCCCCGTGCTGATGTGGGGACTGGCACCACATCTGTCTTGAGGCAGGCTTGCTTGACTGCTTTCCTTTGTTTCTGAATTTTCTCATTTATCTGATTAAATTTGCTCTTTAGAACTCTGGGACGGCCTAGGAGGCTAACGCTTTTTTTTTTTTTTTTTTAACAAACAAGAGGTGGGGGATCATTGGGTGAAGGGCTGGGAGGGCCCACGTCTGTCCCTGGGAAGGCCCCACAGGGTCCTGCTGTTTCACAAAAATCAGTGTATCCCTTCCAGGAGATGCACAATACACTCGTATAAAAAGCAGAGGACCTTTGGCTAACAGGGTATCAGGATGGCAGCTGGAACAGAGACCCAAAATGATCGTGGCCGAAATAAGAGTTTTATTTGTGATTTGTTCCAAAGTCCAAATGGGTGGTGTCTTAGGGCTGCTCCAGCAGATGCACACCCACCAAGAACTCAGCCTTCCATTTTGTCTTCTGTGATCTTCAACACACGGCTCCCAGCTCCTAGGCAAAGATGGTGCCCTGGCTCCAGTCAGAAAGGAGGAAAGAGGAGGGGAGGGCACACCTCCTTCTTTTTTAGAATGAAACCTAGAATTTGTACGTATCACCTTCCCCTACCTCCCACTCACCAAAACTTGCTCTAGTTCCCCTGGTTGGACGGGAGACCGGGAAATGGAGTGGCAACCATGTGTTCAGCTAAAACTTCTCTTAAGCCATGCAGTGGGCAAGAGTGAGGTCCCACATCATGAAAGGGGACCTGGCCGCTATCTTTTTTTTTTTTTATATAGACTTTTTTTTTTTTAGAGCAGTTTCAGGTTCACAGCTGAACTGAGCAGAAAATACAGGAAGTTCACACATAGCCCTCCCCACCCACACATATATACTTCCCTACCTTCAACATCCCTCATCAGTGTGGCATATTTAGTACAACTGACAGCCCAACACGGACACATTATTATCAACCAAAGTCCATAGTTTACATCAGGGTTCACTCTTGATGTTGTACATTCTGTGGGTTTTGACAAATACATAATGACATGCAGCCATCACTATAATATCATACAGGATAATTTCATCGCCCTAAAAATCCCTTGTGCTTCATCTATTCATCCCCCCCTCCCTCTCCCCAAACCCCTGGAAGCCATGATCTTTTTACTGTTCCTGTAGCTGTGCCTGGGTTCCATCTTGTTTGCTAGATTGCACAAGCCCCGAGCCTCCAGCTGTGCGAACTGCCTTGGAAGAAGTCTGATGACCTGAGAATGCATCGCTGGAGAGGCTTTAGCCATGCGAATCAGCCACCTTGCATATCCAGCCTTTAGATGTCTGCTGCCCTGCCAACGCCTGACTGCAAATGCAGGGGACACCCCAAGTGACAGCTGCCTGGACAATCCCTTCCTGAATTTATGATCCACAAATAGGAGCAAAATAAAATGGTTGTTCTCTCGATGCTAAGTTTTGGAGTGATTCCTTAGGCAACAATAGTACCTGGTGTAATAGAGCAAACCAAATCTGACTCTATATTAGATCTGTTCCTTTGTTTTCTAGGCTGTCTTGCTAGCTCTGCACTCATGTAAAGATAACAAGTTGCAGAATTGAGAATGACATTTGTTTTGTTGCAGGTTTTGCAGGAGCACCATGACGTGGCCCATGTGGACAGCTGCAGGAACAAAGAATTCCTACACCGAGAAGTTTGCAACAACCAACCACACCCCTTCCCCTGTTTTTTGTTTTTTGGGGTTTTTTTGTATAAAAGGAGCCTGTATTCTGACTTGAGCAGGATGGCTCTCCAAGATACTGGTCTGCCATCCTCTCGGTCTGCCGGCTTTCTGAATAAAGTCACTATTCCTTGCCCCAACACCTTGTCTCCCAGTTTATTGGCCTGTCGTGCGGCAAGCAGAACGAGTTTGGACTTGGTAACACTGGTACTCATAGGTACTATGTTCTGTCACTGAAATGTTACACAATTTTATGTAAACAGAAGGAAATTTTTAAACAAATATTTGGAGAATAAGATTTTTAAACACTTACTCTTTAATCCCTGGGAAGGGAGAATATGGCTGTCTAGGAGACTGGTTCTATTATTGAGAGAAAAGTGGTCCTTGAATTAAGAGATATGAGTATCTTTTTTCCTCCCAAAACTTTAAAAAACTTTATATTCAAAATAATCTCCAAGGTTTTAATTGTGAAAATTTTCAAACCCATACAGAAGTTGAAAGACCAGTACCAAGAAGACTCATATTTCTCCCACTGAGATAATGCAATAATTCATACTTTTCCATATAGCAAATATATAATTTTCTGTACCATTTGACAGAAAGTTGCAGAATATCTTATTTTTAAATAACTTTTTTTCTGTTCATATAAGTAATATAATGCTCATTGTGTAGCTTTTGTAAAATGTGGAAAAATTTAAAAAATAAAGTGCATCCATAACCCCACTGCCCAGATTAACTGTCTCGATTCTTGGCTTATGTGGCAAGTTGCGCATCTGAACTTGGTTTTCGTTGAGCAGGGCTGCCCTCTGCTGACAGCCGGGCGAATTGTCAGGTACTGGGATTTAAATCTGTGAAGTCTCTTACGGAGTTCCAGTTGAATTGATTTCTCAGACTAGTTACTTGTTTGTTCGTTTGTTTTTAAGTTATAAAAATAGTTTATTTAAATGTTAAGAAATGACTCAGGAAAGTCAAATTTCTGAAACTGTAGACCTGAGCCCGATGGCCCCAAACCTGGGGATTTTATCAAAGTCTTGCGTGAAGCTTCACCTGGAACAGCTTGTCTGGCTTACTTGTCCTTGTGATACTGTTTCCTTTTCCTGGGGCCCAAAGAGATGGACATCAGGTCCCAGTCTACACTCGGGCAGCTCTGCACCCAGTCAGACGGCACACACGTGTGGTTCCAATGCCTCTCTCCCCAAACTGAGCTAACGACCCTGGTTTTTTCCTAGATTCTTTTTCTTCCTTTGGTTCATTCTTCATATCCCTTTTTCTCCAAGCACGTCCTGTCTTGTTTACACTTCCCCCCTTGTAGGGCCTCTGGTGTACATTCGCTTCACTTCTGTTCTTTTTTCTATCAACTTATGCCTTGTTGAAAATTAGTAAGTTCCTATATTCACATTTATACTCCAAGGCCTCTGTACAATTTCTAAAAAGAATATCTTCCTCACCTCTCTGTGAAGTTCTGGAGAGCAATCTTGGTTCAGAGTCACTGTCTGGAGGTCATGAGCGGTAGATGGACCCTTGAGCTGGGTCCCTGGAGAGCGTGTGTAAAGTGAGGAGAGAGCCCTGTAAAGTTTCCAGGGAAAGATACTATGTAAGCCACTGATTGAAGGAAGAGGAACCATCAAAGGAGAGTAAACTTGAGTAGATTAAGCGGACAGAAGAAAATGAAGAGAGAGTGTATCATGGAGGCCAGTGGAGGAGGAGTTTCCAAAAGGGAATATGACGGACCGTGAATAGGAAGACTGAAGATGTCTGTCCCTTACTCACCCTCACTGCCATTTTTGACCAATTAAAATTTTTATTTGCATTTATATAAGCTACTAAATATAAAAATATACAAGGCTAAATAAATTTTATAGAATTTGGAAAAAAAAGAAAAAAACAGGATTGTTGTGTTGGTTAACCTACCCGTGGTTTAACACTTTGATATTACTAATTCACACTTTCTCTCTATTTTCCACAAGAACATCAAGGGTGGCATCCAGATATGCTGCTGAAGTCACTGATCCAGCATTGATCCACGGATGATGCTCAGTTCAGTAGACTTAACAAAAAGAAAAATAAGTTAATTTGGCAAATATTGTTCACATTCAGCATACGCTAGGCTACTTTTGATCACCAGTTTCTTCTTTGTCTTCTGCCATTATTTTTAAATAATCCTGTTTAGATTTTTAGCACAAGAAATAAACTCCAAAGGAGAGCAACTTTTCATACATAGCTTGCTTCATAGTTCGTCAGAGTGTATTAGTAACATGCGGTTTCTTAGAAGAAATGAATCTCCTTGAGATTGAAGGAAGAGTCGTATGTTTCATTTAACAAAATTAATTTAACATTTACTACCATGCCAAGAATAAAAGTAACATTCGTTGAGCGCCTTTTGTATCCCATACAGGAAGAAATAAATATTAGGAGCTCACAACTCAGAGAGGGACAAAGACAATTTTAAAAAATTCAATGAGTGTGACAAGTGCTATAGAGCAACTGTCACAGAGAACTGGGCTTTTGAGGAGTTGAGGAATGGATTTAACCAGCTGGAGAAGAAAGAGGAGGGTATTCTTGGCATCACAAGTCATCACAAGGAGCATACTTGTTGCTAGTTGGTTTTTCCCCGAAAGGATGGATTTACACTTTTCTTGGTTCTTTTCAACAGATGGCAGCCGGTCATGAGCAGGACTTCTAGGACCGGTGCGCTGAGCGTATTGGTGGAGCAGAGGGAAGCAAGTGAGCAGTCAGAGGTCAAACTTGTGATTTCAGCCTGGTTAGCTCTGGATCCTAATTTATAGAAACAGACTACCTGATAGACCAAGGAAAGGAGCAAAAGAAAGCAGCATGTAATACTCATACTACCTTGCTGCACCTTAGATTCTTTTTTTTTTAACATTTTTTATTGATTTATAATCATTTTACAATGTTGTATCAAATTCCAGTGTAGAGCACAATTTTTCAGTCATACATGAACATATATATATTCATTGTCATATTTTTTTCTCTGTGAGCTACCATAAGATCTTGTATATATTTCCCTGTGCTATACAGTATAATCGTGCTTATCTATTCTACAATTTTGAAATCCCAGTCTATCCCTTCCCACCCTCCACCCCCCTGGCAACCACAAGTTTGTATTCTGTGTCTGTGAGTCTGTTTCTGTTTTGTATTTATGCTTTGTTTCTGGGTTTTTTTTTTCTAGATTCCACATATGAGCGATCTCATATGGTATATTTCTTTCTCTTTCTGGCTTACTTCACTTAGAATGACATTCTCCAGGAGCATCTATGTTGCTGCAAATGGCGTTACGTTGTCTGTTTTTATGGCTGAGTAATATTCCATTAAAAGCAGTTTCCACATCACTGAATTTCATCCTAACCTCAATGCTGTGAGGGAGGGAGTAGGTGTCCTCTACTTGCAGACGAGAGACATCAGATCCAAAGAACTGAGTGGCCTGGCTGAAGTCACAGAACCAGCAGGAAACAGGACTGCAGTTCAAATGAAATGGAAGTCACAGCATCCCTAAGTTAGTGATCTTCACTCTAAAGAGTAGGAGTTTGGACAGAATGGAGCTTAATAGAAAAATAGATAATAAAATAAATGACTTAAGAGTATACAGAGACAATTGTGAAAATTTTTTAAATCCTTGTTTTTCATAAGAAGCATTAAGTTGTCTTCTGCTATTTGAACAGGTGAAAAGCTATGGGAAGTTTCAGCACCAGTTTGGGGGTAAGCTTCATTTTAATGGGCTTCTCAGATTGGCCTCAACTGGAGCCAATTTTTTTGCCTTTATTTCAATTTCCTACTCCCTAACTCTCTCACCACCACCATCAGTCTCTCCCTCCTGGAACCTCAGTTGCGCATGCCCGTGTATTTCTTTCTCTGCCACCTCTCCTTCCTTGACCTCTGCTATACCAACAGCACTGTGCCCCAGCTTCTGGTCAACCTTCATGGACCTGACCGGACCATCACCTATAGAGGGTGTGTGGCCCAGCTCTCCATCTGCCCTGTTCTGGGAGCCCCTGAGTGTGTGCTCCTTGTGGTGATGGCCTTGGACCGCTGGGCTGCTGTCTGTCATCCTCTCCACTACAGCAGCCATCATGCACCCTCTCCTCTGCAAGACCCTGGCTATTTACTAGCTTGGGAGCTTCATGAACCCTCTGATTCAGACAGGCCTCCTGACGGTCATGCCTCTCTGTGGCCTCCAGCTCCTGAACCACTTCTTCTGTGAGTTGCCTGTACTTCTGAAGCTGGCCTGTGGGGACACAAAAGGGGCAGAATCCAAGATGTTTGTGGCTCGAGCCATAGTGTTGGTTGTTCCAGCAGCGCGAACTCTGGGCTCTTATGTGTACATTGTTCAGGTGGTGCTGAGGGTCAATCAATGACTGGGAGAAGAAAGGCTTTCAGAACTTGTGGCTCCCACCACCTGGTGGTTTCCCTTTTTTATGGCTCAGCCATCCATACATACCTCCAACCCATGCACAGTTATTCTGAGAGTGAGGGGAAATTTGTTGCCCTTTTTTATACCATAATTACTCCCATGTTCAATCCTCTGATTTATACCCTAAGGAACAAGGATGTGAAGAGGGCTCTGAGGAAGGTACTAAGAAGAGGCAGATACTCAGGGTAGGACAGGAAAGGAGGACCAATGCAATTGTCTGTCATGGGGCCCATCCTCTTCCTTGGAGGGGAGTTGGTCAATGGGAAATAGTCCTCCATAGGTTATAGTTTTAATGCCTTCCTTGTTTTCCAGGTGAAGTGGCGATCTCTCAGAACTCTTTCCAGATCAACGTATATTAATATTGTGCAGAAGGGGAGTAAGTATGATTTGTATCAGAACTTTCCAAAGGAATGAAGTTGGGGAAAAGATGTACTGTGGCCACTTGTGGAGAGTGGGGCCGCGTTCTCAGCAAGTCTGTGTGTGAAAGAAGACTTGATTGCAATGACAACAACTTTTCCAAAGTCACTGATTCCTAGTGTGCTGCAATGTAGATGGCTCTGTGCTCAAAGGGCGAAGGCACGAGTTTACCACTGCTCTTCTAATCAGCTGTGACCCTGGACATGTCCCCTCACATCTCAGGGCCATTTCTAAGGTCTCTTTTGATGGTTACCATTCTATAAAACTTGGAACAAATAAAGAGATCATGAACAGAGGTACTTCGTGGAGCATGTATATTCTCTGACACGGATGTCATTCACCTGTTTAAAGGAGGAGGCAAAACCATTAGGACAGCACTGAGTAACGAGAAGTATCATCGTGTCATCAGCACCAAGGGTCTCGGTCATGCTAACTGGTGTCAGGGACAAGATCTTTTCCATTTGAGAGGAGAAATGTTTATAAAAATAATGAGCCAAGAGGAAGTGATATAGGAAAGAAGAAAGGATAAGAGGGACTGACAAAAAAAAGGAGAAAGAGGTAGGCAGTGGTGGGCAGGTCAGGAGACTCTAGGGCAAGAGGGAGAGGCAGTGGACACTCGAAATTCCAGCACTGCCCTCCCATCCTGTATACTCAAATGACGCTTTCACGTCAAAGGGCAGATATCTTTGCTGATAACCTTTGACAGTCTCAGTGATTTTTCACATTGAGTCAATCATCTTTTATTCAAATAGTAGAAACTAATATTTGTTTCATCTTTTAAAAGCTCTTTTGCATAAATTACCATTACTCATCACAGCATCACTGTGAGAGTTTCGTTGTAGTCTCTATTTATCTATGGTGAAACCAAGATTCCCAAAGTTTATGTAACTTTTCCAAGTTCACATATGAAGTGAGGCTGAGATCCGCATTTCTGCCGTCCTAAGTCCAGCCCTTGCTGCTACACCCTGCCAACTCTCCTTTTTAGGAGTGAATTTTTAATAGGAAAGATAGAGGCTGCCACGAAAGGTTGATGGGAGAGAATCAAAGGCGAGCTTAACATACTTCATGATTTTGCTTTAGTCTATTCCAGTCAGGGTTCTGAATTCTTCTGAGTTACACATTCTTTGGCTAGAGAAAGTATTTTTTCCCTGCATAAAGCCAATATATCCTATAATCATAGTTCTCATTTTTTTGAATCTTTATTACAGTTCAAGCACCATGTTATATGATATACATAAAATGTATCAATACAATGTCACATTTAATTCTTACAGCATAAAGTACAGACATTACTCCCCCTTATCAGTTTTACTGATCAAGAGACTAAAGTTTAGATTACTACTTTGTGTGACATCATTCAATTTATTTAGGTATTCAATGGAGGGCCAGGATTTGAATCTGGCCCATCATATTTCAAATCCCACCCACCTAGCTACTACCTAAGAATCCAAATTTTTATATTTAGTAGCTCAAGGAACTAACCAACAATCTGCATGGAGCACATAGTTTTTCTCCTAAATGTTGGGCATATGACAATCCTGTTATATCAAGGTTCAAACTATTCAAACATATGAATTAACCTAATGGAAAAAAAAAGGATTATTTGAACTAGCAGGACAGAATTTAATAAAATTATTTTGTGATTAATGTGTTATTCTTTCATTTGGCATGCAGAAAAATAGCCTCTCAATTGCATTAAGAGGAACATATCCCACAGCTAGGTAATTTTAAGAGACCACTGGAACAGTTGGGCACGTACAGCCATTGTGTTTGCAAGTTAGGTAATGCTGGAGGCAAATGCCATCTCCATGGGAACCTACACCCATGGCAGTGGCTAATTGATCATTGGAGATCTTGAGTCCCTGTACCATGCCAGAGTCACTGAGTGATTCAAAATGTCCCTCAATTACTCAACTGAGAGAGGAAGTCATAGGTGACTTTCCATGTGGAACACAATATTAACACCTTGGCAGGTCTCCTTTGTCTTTGAGAGCCCACAGGGCTGGAATTTGAAATTCTGCCTTCTGTTCTTAGCCTGCTTAACCTCCTAAGTGGGGGTTTGGGATGGAAATAATGGTGCATGAAATACTTAAAGTGGGGGCTTATCTCCTGAAAAGAGAGGGAGACTTGGGAGAGAAGAGATTGTGTAGGATTGGCTCTCAAGAGAAGAATTAAAGGATGATTTAATAAACGAAGGAGAAAGTACAAGAACTTAGAGATTTCAGTGAACACCTGGAAAAACTGCTTACTGTAGATTTTAAAAACATTTCCGGAACTTTATATCATTTTATTTTTAAAAATATGATTGGTTTTAGATGGTATCATTTATAATTGAAATTAACAGGAAATTCATCAGCGGGTTGGGTGCTTACTTAGGAGATAGTTCAGGTTGGGGAGTTACTTTACTTGAAGAAAGGAAGGGTCAGATACACCCATCTCAGAACCAGCATCAAAAAAGAAGACTGATATCCTCATGGAGGTGGGTAGTGTGTGTGTGTGTGTGTGTGTGTGTCTGTGTGTCTGTGGGTCTGTGTGTCTGTGTATTGGAGGGTAGGGATGAGCACGTATTGGGTGGGGATGATGGCTCAGAGACCTGATGTGACACCAGGACACTAAGCAGCAGGAAAAGACTCTAGGAAATATTCAGCACTAGTCACATCCATCTTCATTCAATCTCCATCCTTTGGTATGTACAAGAATGTAGATAACCTCTCTCTTAAAACTTACTCCTGCATCTTGATGCCCAGATGTACCTCATCAAACATGACCCGAGTCAGAACAGTAAAGAGAGAGAAGATTCATTTGGGTGCATGGAGTCTTCACCCATGTCTAACATTCCTCTGATTTCTTTCTTTTTTTTAAATTAATTAATTTTATATTGAAGTGTAGTCAGTTTACAATGTTGTGTCAGTTTCTGGTGTACAGCATAATAGTTCAGTCATATATATACACACATATATTCATTTTTATATTCTTTTTCATTATAGGTTACTACAAAATTTTGGATACAGCTCCCTGTACTATACAGTATAAACTTGTTGTTTATCTATATCATATATAGTAGTTAGTATCTGCAAATCTTGAACTCCCAATTTATCCCTTCCCATACCCTCCACTCTAGGTAAGTATAAGTTTATTTTCTACGTCTGAGTCTTTCTGTTTCGTAAATAAGTTCATTGCCTTTTTTATTAGAGTCCACATATAAATAATATCATATGGTATTTTTCTTTCTCTTTCTGGCTTACTTCACTTAGAATGACAATC